CAGGATTGCTCTGTATATAAATAGAAACAAGAGTTTGACGAACAACCATGTTCAGATGAGGAAAAGTATATATACTGAAAGATGATTGCAGAATGCTTACGAAAACTGTTATCCAAATTTAAAACAATGGAACTTGCATATGCGAGAAAAAAGACAGCGGCCTGAACGTGGTGAAATAGCTAGAGATGGAAGCCTAAAGTCAATCAAAAGCAAGGGGCGGGGGTTGACCTGAAAAACGATATTTTTGGACTTATTTTGTACTGCAAGGAAGCATACTTTAAGAAGGAAAAAAAAACATTATCTGGATTGTTGGTAGCATAATCTGCTACTTTTGGCAAGAACATTAAAAAAAGGCATCGCTCAAATGGTTAGATTTGAAAGTCTGTGAATCCTGTCACGCAACACTTTTGACTAGACTTTTATGACCAAAATTAAAGGTGTATCGGCAGCCCGAAGGTTTCACTATCAAAATCGCAGTTAGTGTGAGACCTAGAATTGTTCAATGCTCGTTTTACTGACTGACCAAACTCGGTAATACAAAGTTATCCGTAATTTTAGAATGACCAGTACTTACACACAACATCGGGATATAAACTCGGACGAGTCTGGCGGCCACCTCATTCTTTGCATAGAGGTCCAAGGAAGTCATGATATTAGTAACAAGGACAGGCGGGTAATTGGTTTGGAGATTGCGAAGATCGTGTACCATCTATTTAAAAGGATGAGATCACGTACGTAAAAAATAGTAAAATCATTTCTAATATCTTTATCATTAGTTCCTTTATAACATTTGTGATAAGATAACGACAAAAGGGTTGATGGTTATTGTCGTAATCGTGATTTCAAGTTCAGACACTAATAAACTCAGTAGTCCAATCAATTTCTTTTAATTAGAAATTTGCGGGAAGTGAAAATCCAAACATAATAAAGTGATGGAGAAAAGTAGGAAATGGCTTTAAGTAAAAAATTCCTGATATTAATCAAAGTTGCACTGCTTAAAGGTACACAATCACCTAATGCACTTGCACATTTGATATCATTTATGAGCTGAAGGATTTGAATATCACAAGATACACTCGTGAACCAAAAAATTGATAAGCGTATCCCCACAGGTAGCCCAAGCTCGAAATATGAGCATCGGCGAGCATCGGCATTGTTGCGTAACATTCAAAATATAAGGATTTGTATGGGAGAAAAAACCTGTCGTTTCTGTAACCAATGAAAATGAAAGGATTTCAATAAAAAACAGTTTACCTTACTTAAAATGTTTGTTACATCTCTCCTGTGTGGTCTACGGGCCGATTTATGACCGTTTTATGTCAGTTTATGGGTTTTTTTGTAAACGGTTTAAACCTTTATATAGAGAGAAAACCGTTTACATAAAAACCCATAAAACTGAATGAATGTTACGCAACAATGCCGATACTCATATTTCGAGCTTGGGCTACCTGTGGTATCCTTGCAATATCCAAACCTTGTAGAGTCGAAGTTAAATTGCAAGTCAAAATCGTGATTACCAACCCCTTACCGTGCCCTAGTCATATTACTGACGCGAAGACTGAATCCGGCCTTGTCGATGGTTTCCCCAGCATGAACATTTTCTCCAAGTCGAGACCCTACACTGTTTTCACGTCTTTCCTCGTCTCACGTCTTGTTAACTGAGAGGGTCTTATTGCTTTTATTTGTGCATTATAGTAACTCGCCGTTCGCAGTCCAGTACTATCGCCCCATTTTAAGGAATACAAAACAGTCTTGGATTCTCGATCCCATTCCGTGGATAGTGGATTCCGGTTGCTGGATTTTCAGTGGAACGTGGATTCTGGATTCCATGCCTTAGTGGGATTTTGGAGTACTTGAGCTCTATTCTGGATTCCAAAGTCCTGGATTCCGGTTACCACGAGCAAAATTTTCCCGGATTTTGGATTCTACAAGCAAGAATTTCTCAGATTCTAGAATCCGGATACCCTTACATGGGGCGAAGTACTAGTCCAACATTTTCGGACCTGTTCACGCTTATTTAATCCAGCAGCGGGAAATTTACTTTCTTCTCACGTTCGATTTTAAAATGTGATGGCTCGGAGTAACTTCCGGTCAGTGCAGCTTTTTCAGACTGGACCACATTTTAAACCTTTTCTTACGGTTTTTAGTTTTTGATCAATTCAGTGGGATTCGGGTGGGTGTAGCTTTGTGCATTCACGGATATATTATTGTTATTTGTTTTCATACATTTATGATCTTTTTAAGTTATTTTTTATTCAAATGCGTTGTATCTTATTGACTTAGTATTTTTATTGTCATGCGTTTTATACATGAGCCTCTGACTCGGATGATCGGGACAACCCCATCCCACGTATTGACGTTAATAAATTTATTGATTGATTGATTTGGTTCTGAAACAATTTTTTCCGTCTTCACATAATAGACTTAACACGAATGTTGGGGGCAGTGGGAAATTAAATATAATAATGATAATATAATAATTTATTTCTTATTAGGCGCAAATTAACATCTGAATATGATCAAATGCGCCTTACAACTATAACTACGTGTAATAATTGCAATAAAGTATACTTAAGAATACGTAAAATTTATAATCTAAAATTTATCAATCTAACTATAACAGGCAAAAGTCTTCCCAAATAAGTAAATAAGTCTTTCGATGTCTCTGACACTTGCAGGCAGACTGTTCCACAGTGCAGTGGCAGCTATTTAACAATTATTCCTCGAGCCCGAATGGGCTCTGAGTCAATAGCCCATGAGGGCGAAGGCCGAATGGGCTATTGACTCAGAGGCAATGAGGGCGAGAGGAATAATTGTTTTAGTAAAATCCAACTAGTTGGTAAAAAATATCGAGACCAAACAACTTAAAGCAAGACTTTAATCCTTTTTTGCCACCAAAAATCCGGCGCTTTTCGCTACTAGTGGGCTATGCCATATAGCCTAGTAGTAGCTCAACCAATCAGAACGCAGCATTGATAATAGACCACTAGTTGGATTTTACTAATTGGAATGATCTGTCACCCAGAGTTTTCTTTGTTTTTCCAATGGGCAACTGAAATAGTAGTTCTTCAGAAGAACGAAGCTAAGCTGGTATTTACATTTCTCCTTTAATCTAACTAGCTTGCAGTCATAGGACGGCGCAAGTTGATATACTGTTAAACGTTAAAACTATAAGATTTTAAACTCGATACGGTAGGCAACGGGTAGCCAATGCAAAGAAAATAAGACGGGTGTAATATGATTAAACCTCTGAGTTGAGCATACGAGCCGGGCAGCATTATTTCTAATGCGTTGTAACTTACTCATGTGTACCGCGGGAACCTTATAAAGAAGACTATTGCAGTAATCTAAGCGGCCTATAACAATGGAGTGAACAAGCGTTTGTGTGGCATCATTGTTGAGGTACAAAATTGAAGGTTGGAAAGGTGCGACCGCGCCGACCGCACCTGTTATTCGAACATCACTGCTGACCATTTTTACAGCGTGAGCGCTAAAAAACCGAACAGAACTTTGATCGAGTGATCAACAGCCCATCATTTTCAACTTCAAGGAGAGTTTTTGGGGAATTTACATCAGTGCTGTAATAGTTTTACAGGGAACAAGATCGTCAGCTACATCAAAGCGGAAGATGGACCAGTCTTTACAGTGAGGTACTACGTTATGTAGCAAAGCATTATAACAGATTAAGCTATAAAGATACTCATATACTGTACGTGTAATATTTCCGTACAGCCATATTCAGATAATATTTTGCGCATTTTTAGAAGCTTACATGTAAGCCGCCTTTACGTCTTATGTTTTGATTCCCTTCACATCAACTATTTGGGTGAAATAGTATGAAATGGCTGCTGCAAGCATAATGTATGAGTGGGGACGTACTTATAATCTCTTATGTTTATGCGTGCATCGCAAAAACTGCACTTGCATGTCCGTTTTGCACACTGTATAATTCCTATGATTTAATTCTGTTCTGGTTGATAAATATGCAGCCTCATGTGAGAGAGGCTTATAAAGTGGTTTGGCTCATGGTAATGAAGATGAGTGGACTGGTTTATACGTGCCAGTACTAAACAACATTCAGTATTTTTAACATGGCATTAGTCCGTTGCAATGTATTATTGATACCAAAATTTAACTCTCCAATTTTTTTTATTTACTTGACTGTTTTGTGCAGCAATAACCACAATATGCATTTACTTGATTATTATTTTTATTACTATAAATCAACAAACAATGAGTTTATGTAGTCACAATTTATACAAAAGCACTGGTTCATATACATGCATACAACTGTCCATGTGTTGACTTTCTCCCTTTTCTTTTTTTCTTTTTTCTTTTCTTTTGCAAAAGTTATGATTAATAATTTTTTATTATTAATCATTAGTCTAACAGAACTTCATGTCGGCTCTAATTCAGTCAGTAATCGTACAGCTGTACTCGTGGTTAAACAAATTGGACTCCCGCTACACAGTTGTCTGATTTTGTTAAACACTTGTACATTTGAAATCGAGGTGAATAGTGACTTAATATTTGCCGAGCCGCGAGAGCGGCGAGGTAAATATTCCCAAAGCCACTATTCACCGAGATTGAAAGGAATAAGTGTTTTAGTATATACACACGAAGTGATCTCAACAAAATCAGAGAGGGAACCATTAAAAAGTACAATTTGATTGACAGATCAAATCACGCGTAAGTTTAAAAATAGATCTTTGCAGAATTCTCAAACATGGCAATTCACAAGTTTATCATTTCGCAAACAACAGCGTAATGGCTTAAATGGAACCGCTAAAAGTTTGAACTGTTTCCTTACCTGAGAAGAAAAGTGGAGCTTTGTTGTTTTCTGTTGACTCGCCAGGTTTACAGCCAAAAGGGCTTGTTGTGTCGTTGTTCGCATGAAGTGCTGACAAAAATGGCCGGCTCGGTTGCTCGAGGTAAGACGTCGTCTTCCTGTATCATTCTTTTTCCTGTTTACTTGAAACGTAGAATTTCTGCAAACATTT